CATATTATACGACTTTCATTTTGATTGTTAAGGCTAAAAATCATTTGATTGTAAACTCACTTTTTACGTCGCACATCGTTTTGCCGGTTCTGTCACAGATCTTCGATTGGTCATAACTTCTTCGTTATAACTCGGATTTCGGCGTTCTTTATATTTTTGGAAACCTTACGACATATACTACAACTTAGATAAGATTATTTATTCTAAATAATCTTTTATCAAAAAGTCATGTTTGACGTGAAATAATGGATTGTTACAAAAATCAACACGAGAAACACATATATATTATTTTGCTCATATAGAGGTGGAGAATACTTTTATCGAAAGTTTGACACATTTTGAAAAGAGAATAGTGTCAAACATGAAATAACTTCACCTTTTACCCCTCAACATAACAGTTTGGCTGAAATAAAAGAGTGAAACTTATTCGAAATGGCCAAACACATGTTAAACCAATTATGTTTACCAAACAATCTACAGGGGAAGAACTATTGATATGCTTGGCCTAAACATAATACGATCACAAGTCATAGGATCCCTACAAGTTCATATGAGTTATGTAAGCAAGAAAATCAAACTAGACTATCTGAGAGTGTGCGCTTGTGTTGCCAAATATTATACACTGCGATCCTATGTGATCCAAATCGGGAGCTCGAGTTATGAAGAGTATATTCACTGGATATGTTCAGAATAACAAGGCTTACCAACATATGGATGACGCAGAGTCGTAAAGGGAAAGAAAATAAAACAGAGACTTCTCAGTTTTTATGTGTTGAATACGGATCAAAGAGGGTTGTATTTATAGTTGTTGAAATCCAAGGAGACTCCCAAAAAACATGGAACTATGACGATGAAATCCCTATCACAGCTCACCACGAGTCATGCGATTTGACTATGTCAAACCCTAGCAATGACAACTTTCTCTCCAAGAAACATGTTTGCTTGGAGGCTTCTTGAAGCTTCCTCTACCATATCCATGAAGTCAACAAGTGATCAACGCTAAAAGGGTGGGTCCAACCATATCCGACTCAAAACTTTGTAAAAATAAAAGCTCATCAACTCCCAGTGATGATGCGACGTGTGAAGTGCAAAGTGCACCTGAATCTCACCATTTCACGAACCTCATGTCTCGTGTCCACTACCCGCTAGGCGCACGTGTGTGCTTGGACCATCCTTTAACCTCCACTAAATCCTTTAAATGCTAAAGGCACACAAAGCCTTATAAACCTTTCAAATGTTCTCCAACCTACCAATGTGGGACAAAGGGAAACTAGCCAACTTGTTATTCCCTTCATAATTTCAAACAGTTTCCCACATAGTTGCAAAGTTTTCTTTCACTCGAATAAGTGATGTCAATTGGGCGTCATGAAAATTAAACCATAGTTTAATGTGGACAAATAATAAGAGATCGGTTCAATGGTATCTTGAAAATTAAAACAAGAACCTTTTAACCTCTCCAGTTTACCCCCACACATCACCCACCATCTTTGCATTCCCATTAATCATTAATATGGTCATTTGCTATAAACCTTTTTCATGGTCCTCTAGAAGATAAACCTCTGATCTTCATTTGAGGAAGAACCGCCTCTTGATCATATAGGCAAAGGTTACAACATCTTCGTAGCTTAGATGTCTCCAAAACTTTAATAAGAGTTTTAAATCAACCTCGATCTCGGTAATGACGTAATATCTTACCTCACATGGATCGATCATTGTTGATAATACATTATATCGTTAATGGCTTATTTATTACCCTTTTAACTTGATAATGAGGAGCTAATTTCAAGTTGGGTTTCCATCATTAAATGATTCTATTATGGTTTTAGACTAATGAGTCTCATGGTAGTTCCAACCAAATCTCCCATCAAAGGTTTGGTAAGTGGACCCGTTAAGTTCCTAATTGTCTTGACATACACAATGTGATGTTACCACTTTTAATTAGTTTTCTCACATAATTGTTTCGAAGACCAATGTATCTTGTCTTTCCATTATAAACAACATTGTACACTTTAGACATTGTGACCTTACTGTCATAATAAATGGGAATAGATGATATTGGAATATCCTACAGACGGATATCCAAGAGTATATCTTTAAATCTCTCATGACACTGTTTGGGATCTTGTTTCAAACGTACATCCATTTAATAAGTCTAGACAATTTTTCTTATTTTTCATGTATCATAAAACCTTCGGTATGCTCCATATTAATATCATCATTGGCATAGCTATTCAGAAGGGTGTCTTTACATCCATTTGATGAATGTACAGTCCTTTCAAGGCCGAAATTGTTGTAAGAGTTCTAATATAACTATCTTAGAAAGTAAGCATTGGTATCAAAGTAATCGATTCATTCGCTTTGTTTTTGTCCTTAAGCAACTAATCTTGCTCATAGGCATATATGGATCCATACGGATGATTCTTTCTTTTGAAAATCCATTTGGGTCTTGTGGGTTCTTTACCTAATTATATCAACTAATTTCCAAGTTCCATTACCTATAATGGAATCCATTTCGTCATTGATAGATTCCTTCCACAAATGAGCATCTCTAGATGACATGGCTTCACCAAAGGTCTCATGAACATCATCCAAGTTAATAGAGAAAATGATGTCTCTTGTCACTTTCTTTTGAGTCAACCAAATAAAAGAAAATAGCATCTCCAAATTTTTCTCTTTTCTAACCCTTGTACTTCTGGTTTTCTTACAATTCGAAAAGATAAGATATTGTCGCAAGAAGTACTTAGAGTTGTTATGGGTTTGAGTTTTCATTATCTTTTGAAAACTGTCCTTGAAGAATTCTAACATCTCTACTAATAGGACACCTTATTAGTTATCAAATAGTCTGCAAGTCTTATTGTTCTAACCATATCCAATGAATATATTCTTAATAAGATAGTTTTTATAACTATAAATACAACCTTCTTAATACCGTCGTCGGCCATAATGTGTGGTAGGTTAAACCAAGAGTATAACATGATCATAATAGAAGTTAAAAAGAGTAGTGGGCCCAATCGTAAATTGTAAGCCCAATATAGTGTTATTTCTTGATAAATAGTATACTTAGATAGTTGTTTAATGATATATTGGCTCCAAAAGAAAATATCATATTGATGAACAACTCTATGTTCCTTAATTCAAACCATTTTGTGTTTGTCATTAAGTCGTTATGATATAAAAAAGACTCGTTGAGATGTTTACAGAATAACATTACTTTTTATTTTTCCTTAATGCTTCAATGAAAAGAATAACATCATTTTACCCATTTTTATAGTTTCATAAAGGATCTTACCTTTTACTATCTCATTGCCATGTTCATAAAAAACAATATTCATTTAGCTATCTTTACCTCAACTTCCTTTTTCCTTTAATTTGACTATAAGTTAACTTTCATCACAACCGCTAGAAATTACAAAACCACTTATTGCAAGCAAAAATCCTACAATTATAACTCAACATGTCATAAAATCATAACTTAGACAAACAATGTAAGCATTTGACTTGTAAAAACAACTCATCTACTCTTTAAAAGTCGTTACAAAAGCATTATTGTGAACAACACATGATGATACAATATCATAACATTTTATATAAAGAAAAAAAAAAGCAACATTTTATTCCAGGTTTCTTCATATAATTTAGCACAACACAAGATATGATGTTGTCATTTTCCATCTCATAAGCGCGGTTTTGCATGATCCAATGGTGCACTCTGCAACAAACAAAATCATATTCTTCATCAAGAAAATCTTTTATAAAGTCTAGAAAAGCAAGAATTTTTTTTTATAAAAATGCTAACCAGAGGAGCCCCAAGTGCAGCTCTTTGGGCCAAGTAGGCACAAGGTTTGAAGAACTCTCCGTACAATTTTGACCACTCTTCTAGCCTTGAATATACATATTTAGATCCAAGTTTATCTCCCCAAAACATAATCCCTCCCCTATACAGTATACACAAATGTAAGAAATCACGCATAAATATATTGATTAAAAAATTGGAATTTTTTATAAATATAAGAGGGAGACCTGTAAGGTGGGAATCCCATTCCCATGACTCCAGCGATGTCCAAATCGGCTGCTTTTACTGCAATACCCTCGGCATATACTCTACAAGCCTCGTTCACAACAGGGAAGAATATCATCTCTATTATGTCCTTCTCTGATAATTTCTCAAGCTGAAATCATTTTTCTTAAACCCTTTAATCCAACATACAAGAGATAGAATGAATTTTTTTTATATTATATTATATGTGGAGGGAGAGCGAGAATGAATTACCTTTGGATCAATGGAGACACCAGTCATTTCCCTTGCCTTGTCAATATATTTCTTAATTTCAGGATCCGGACTTGCTTTCCTCTTATCAGTATACACATAGAAACCTTTGCGAGTCGTTTCACCTACACAACAATAAAAAAATAAAATCCCAAAAATAAAATCCCAAAAATTCCTGAATCTTGATCAATACATACCGGCTCTTTTATCCTCTTGCATGAGTGGAATCAGCATCGACTTATACGTTCTTTCAGGGAAATTAAAAACAAACTGTGACCCAGTTGCAACTGCAACACCAAATCCTACAAGATCACACAATCTGCATCCAAATACCACATGAAGAAGCAAATTCAATAAAATGATTAGAAAAAAAAAAAAAAAAAAAAAAACAACAACAGAGTATTGTTTTGGATTTGGATTTATATGTTGAACCTGAAAGGGCCCATTGGCATTCCGAATTTAGTAATTGCCTTATCTACCCTGTAGAGGTCGGCCCCACGTTCCACAAGCAAAAGGGCAGCTTGGGTATATGGGAAAAACATACGATTCACAGCAAAACCTGTGCAATTGCCAACCACAACTGGAGTTTTTCTTATCTTTTTTCCAACATCTAACAAATCCACAACCACCTGAGCAGATGTCTTTGCTGTACGAACAATTTCCAAAAGTGGCATCACATGAGCAGGGCTGCATTACAAAATTAATTAATTAATTAATTAAAATTATATGACAACAGACCCTAAGGATAACAATCAATTCATATACCTGAAAAAGTGTGCCCCAATTATCCTATCATGAGACTTTGTCTTTTCACCAATCAGATTCAAGTCAATTGTAGAGGTGTTACTTGCAAGTATGCAATGTGGAGAGCAATACTTCTCCAAATCCATAAATATTTGTTGCTTCAAAGACACATTCTCAATAACAGCCTGTTTGGTTATTCAACAACAAAACACAAGTCACCTTTATAGATCATAAAAATAAAATACTAACTAAATGGTTAAAAGAATCTACAACATTAATACCTCTATCACCATGTCCACATCCCTAAAGCTTTCATAATCAACAACGCCCTTGAGAGAAGACAGAATTTTCTCCATCTTTTCTTGACTCAACTTACCTTTTCTAACACTGCTTGACAAATTGGCTGTGTGCACATAAAAGATATTTGTTAAAAACTTGTATGAAAGCAGATTTGCTAAATATCTGGATAGCAGAATGTTGACTTTATTATGATTCATACCTTTGACTCTGCCTAATCCACCCTCCAAGAACTTTTGATTGATTTCTTTCAGGATAACTTGATATCCACTTAGAAGTAAAGCTGTTGCTATCCCTGACCCCATTAAACCTCCTCCAAGAATAGCAACCTTCTTTATCTGTCTTGGCTTCAGACCACGATCTGTCACCCCGGGTACCTATTAATACAGAGAAACAAGGGTATAATTGGTAATTAACCACCTTAAATTATCTTTGACATAATATAATGCTTACAAAAAAGAAAACGCTACCTTTATAGTTCCACGTTGAGAAAAGAAGACATGAACCAAGCTTTTGCAAGTATCCGAATGTAAAAGAATCTGAAATTCTTCATACTCCTGCAAATTACAATACAAAAAAGTCAAAATTAAAAACTGGTCATGGATTGTTTCAAGAATTAAGAACTTATATATTAGACCAAATGCAAAGTGCAAACCTTTTTTAGGCCTGCACGTGGGCCCGAGACTATGCCTTCTTCAATAACATCAATGCAAACTTGTGGATGCTGTAAATTTGGGGCTTGTCTGCGAGCTTGAGCTCTAGCAAAGTTTAGTATTTCTTTTGCCTCACCAAGTGGCTCTAATTTATCAGTTTTATAAAGACTTGCAATCCATGGTTTTCTTCTTTCCAATATGTCTAATGCCCATTTACGTGCAGTTTCTAGTAATTGATCTCCTGATACAATTTCATCCACTAACCCCAAACTATGAGCTTCGTCTCCCCTCAATGGCTTTGATGTCTAGAGAGAGAAAGAGAGATTATCAAGAACTGAAAAGTAATAAAAAGAATTCAAGAAATCTTGCTCCTTTCCATGAAAAATGCAACATTTGACCCTAAAATATAAAAAGTTGCCATTTTTATGGATGCAGAGAGTAAAAGAAGCAGAATCTGGTGGATTGCAAGAAATAAGAACATACCAACATCATTTCAAGGGCCTTTGCAAGACCAACAAGTCTTGGAAGCCGTTGAGTTCCTGAAATAAAATCAAAATCATAAGTCAATAAAAAGTTATAAAAAAAATCCTACACTAATGATAATTAAGTAGAAGGTAAATTTCAACAAAACTTTTAACAAAATTAGTTTGAAATTTAGCGAAAAATTTATAAAATGTTGTAATTATACCTCCAAATCCAGGAATAACACCGAGCTGGAGTTCAGGCAAGCCTAACTGAGCAGTAGAAGTAGCAACTCTAGCATGGCAAGCCTGAAAATAAAACAAGAAAACTTTATAAAAATCATTAAGAAAAACTAAAAACAGCAAAAAATAATAATAATAAAACATACCATGGCAACCTCCAATCCTCCACCTAAAGCAAGCCCATCAATAGCAGCAACAGAAGGTTTTCTTGCAGCTGAAACCAACACCAACATTTGAAAAAAATAAAAAATATATAATACATTTATGAGGGGTACCATGGTAAATGGACATACCTTCAAGGGTATCAGACAGAATATCGATTGATACATAACCAGGTTTTGATGCTGCTCCTGTTGTCATAGCTATAAACAACAAACCAAAATGAAAAATTAAGAAATTTTAGCAAAATTATGAGTTAAAAAAAAAGATAGAATGTACTTCATACACTATGCATACCCTTTCCTTCATGAACTCCACCAAAAGCATTAATGTCAAAACCACCAGAAAATTTGCCTTTTGCACCTGTTTCAGATCATGTAAAGTGTTAACTTTTTATATAATGCTTAAAAGAATCAATTACACATAAGACTTTGTAAAAAAAACTTGCCTGTTACAACAATTGCCTTCACATCGTCTCTTCGTAAGGCTTGGTCAAAAGAGTCTTTTAAGCTATTAAGTACTGAAATAAAGAGATGGGAGAATTTTAATATAATTAGCTAATAATAAGATACCAAAGAAAGTACAGAAATCACACTATGGTCACAAGCCATCACACTGTTCACATGACTCAACAAATCACCCATCTAGTTTCCCCAAATTATCATATGCTAATTTTTATTAGCCTTCATATTTAATCTAAAAAGGTGTCAAGCGAATTGCAATCTAAAAGCATAATCAATAACTTCCCAAGTCTCCGGACAATGAATAAAGAAATTTTCAGATTTTGCCCTAATTCAACCCTGATGACGATAATAACACCCAAAAAGGAACAAACAGATATGGAGAGGATTATATTGTCATCTATATCAAGCTTACTACTTCTGAACGCAAAATTAGCACAGGTTCATTGCAAATCAATCACCATCTTTGTTGTTTATTAAAAAAAAAAAAAAAAAAAAAAATAGTCTTCAAGAGTAGTTAAAAAAGGAGTATAAACTTCAAAAAACTTGATCCAAAATAAAATCGTATGCATGTTTGCAACATAGGGGATATCATTAAATAGCTAATTTAACTTACTCACATACATCCAAGTAGCAGAAAGGGGGAACGGGGAATAGTTGTAGATCAAACAAACTAAAATTAAGATCACAGGTAATCGTATTTAAAAATTACAATACGAAACTGAAAATTCACTTGGAAGAAAAAACACGAAACGTGGAAATTAAGAATTAAGAGAGAGAGATTACCATCAAGAGAAAGTGAATTAACAGGTGGGTTGATGATGGTGATGATAGCCACCCCATCGGACCCAACTGAAATCGTTGATGTTCCTCCCATCCTGTGTTGTGTAGTAGAAGAAAGAAAGAAAAAATTTCTACAGAATTTGGAAGAGGATTTAGATGGGTTTTTATTACAAGTAGCAGGGGCCAGGGGGGGATGGTGATAAGCGACGCCGTATTGAAGCGAAGAAACAGTGACATGTGGGTCGCTTGGACGGTACTTTTTGTGCAGATATGAGCATCATAACCTACGCGCCTGCCCATTTTGACATTGATGCATTGGAGTAACTATGTCTTTTAGGGTTGAAGACAAACCGAACCAAAACCCAAAATAACCGCATAAACCGAAGCCGAATAACTGAAACCGAAACGAAAACCGATGGTGCGGTTTTTAATTTTGAAAAACCGAAAAATTGCGGTGCTGTTCGGTTTTATGTTTAATAACCGCACCAAATTAACCGAAATAACCGCAAACCGCATAATTTAATATATTATTTAAATATTTATAATACTTATATTTAATTAATAAAAATAAGTACTTATATTTAATGTTTTGAATTTAGTATTTTAAAGTTAGACATGTTTATCATCTTATGATTTTTATTGTTTAGTTTTTGGTGTGTAATTGGTGGTTAGTAAATGTTAGACATATTATTAATTGTTTGAATGAAATGAATTCAATATAACATAATAAAATGCAACTTGAAAGAATAAATATGGACCAAAATTGTGATTTATTTGCAATGAAAATCTTGAAATAAATGAAAGTCGACTAAATTTTATGTTTGGAACATGAAAAACCGCACTTTTTTAACCGAAAACCGCACCACCTCATTTTGTGGTTAAAAATCGAAATTGCACCGAAATAACCGCAAAACCGAACCGACTCAAAACCGCAATTTTCGGTTTTTGGCTTTAAAAAACCGCAATTTGCGGTTGCGATTGCGATTTTATACAAAAACCGCACCGAACCACACCATGCTCACCCCTAATGTCATTCCCTATGATTAGAACATCTCAAGCTATACATCAAACTCTATTTTTTTTCTCTGTTTTAGAGTCCAGCCCTGTTTTATTTTCAACTTCAGTTTGGATTAAAGTAAAATTACAAATTTAAGAGTAAATTACACGAATGGTCCCTATGGTTTGGGTTATTTGCGCGTTTGGTCTCTAACTTATTTTTAACTCGGAAAGTCCCTACTGTTTGTTTTTGTTACGTAATTGATCCCTACTGTTTGTTTTTGTTACGCGTTTGGTCCCTATCTTATCTAAAAAGACTATTATTTAAATATGGAAAAATGGTGGGGTAAGTAAGGTGAGGTGAGGGGAATAAGGTTGGTGGTGAGTTTATTTAAATAAAGAGTAAATTACACGAATGGTCCCTATGGTTTTGGGTAATTTGCATGTTTGGTCCCTAACTTACTTTTTTAACTCGGAACGTCCTTACTGTTTATTTTTGTTACGCATTTGGTCTCTGTCTTACCTAAAAAGACTATTTTTCCCTTGATATTTTAATTTATTTAAATAAACACACCCCCAACCCCACTCCCATCACTTTATCTCACCTACCCCACCATTTTCTCCTATTTAGATGATAGTCTTTTTAGGTAAGACAGGGACCAAACGCGTAACAAAAACAAACAGTATGGACCAACTAAATAACAAAAACAAATAGTAGGGACCTTCCGAGTTAAAAAAATAAGTTAGAGACCCAACGCGCAAGTTACCCCAAACCATAGGGACCATTCATGTAATTTACTCTTAAATAAATTAAAAAATCAATGGCAAAATAGGTTTTTTTAGGTAAGACAGGGACCAAGCGCGTAATAAAAACAAACAGTAGGGACCTTCCGAGTTAAAAAAATAAGTTAGGAACCAAACACGCAAATTACCCTAAACCATAGGGACCGTTCGTGTAAAATATGGAACAATATTATTTATTTAGGTGTTGTTGTTTTTTCGAAGCGGAAATGGTTGAAGTCTGCAGATCACATTTGCAACCCTTTGTTGTAGAAAAAATGAACCAAACGGCTGCAACTTGTAATATGAAGTTTGTTCGTTTTTTAACCTCTGCAGACTGTTGCAATAAACTGAAATTAATTATACAATACTTACAAATAAATCTAAATAAAAAATTTATTTAGTTTAATCATATGCAAATCAAATATAAAGATTATTGTGATGATATGATTTTTAAAGAGGTTTATATAAAAGAATTAAACATAATATTTGCTAAATTACAATAAATAAAATTGTTAATTTAGCTAAGGACATGTTCATTTTTGTTAAAATTTTGAAGACGATGATCATTTTTTCGATTAACTTCGATAAATTTGGTAATTTTAATGATTAACTTTATAATTTATTAATATTTTGTTATAGACAATATAGCACAAAAAAAATATTTACATGAAATTTACCATACAGTTTTGAAATTATTTGAAATTATGTAAAATATACTCCAATCGTTTATAATATTCTTCAAATATTATTAAAATAATAAACATATTGTTGAAAAAAAATTAAAATAAATCTAAGTTGAATAATATAACTTCAAGTAAGCGAGAAGTGGTTTGAAAAGAATGGTCCAATGTTGCGCCACCCAGCATACGTGCAACAGTTTTTAAGTTAGAAGTCTTCCAAAAAAACAAACGGTTGCGCAATGGCAAGTGTTGCGCGTGTGTTGCACGGCGCAGCAAGAAGTCGTCAAAAGTGGTTTTTCTGAAAAAAAAACAAACAACACCTTACTTCGAAATAAATATAAACTTTCGCTTCTCAATTTTATTCATTCACATTTTAGTTATATCATTTTTTTATTTTGTTTTAACTAACTAATTATGATTTAAATAATATTAATTATTCATAAATGTAAAATTAATTATTTATGTATCAAATGCATATAAATTTTAATAAATATATAAAAACTAACAAATCCAAATATCTTTTTGGTAATCTCTATAAGGTTAGAAACAAACATACTAAAAATACATAAAAATTAAAAAGAATACCTAGTAAAAAAATGAAGATAGTCTTAGTTTTATATATTTTATTAATATACAATTCATATGGGTTATACTCGTGAATCTTAATATTCACTCATTAAACTTTAATATTCCAAAATAGTCTTAAAATACATAAAAATTAAAAAGAATACCTAGTAAAAAATTATGATAGTCTTAGTTTTATATATTTTATTAATATACAATTCATATGGGTTATACTCGTGAATCTTAATATT